CTCAGATAGTTAGTTTTATCAGTTTTATCATCTAAATTTTGAACCACTCACTGTAGAATTTTTTCAACATAGGTAAAACAACTAGGTAAAAAGCTATCGACTAAGGCACTTTTAGTACAATTGATTTACTATACTTATATTTAATTGCTTTATAATTGAGTGATTGTTTGTCGTTTGTGCATTCTGTATTCTGTACTCAGCACAGAATCCATTTTTTTTCTTTAGAATTTACACTTTAAAGTACCTTTTCATTTACTGATGTATAATTAAATTGTACGTTTGTTATATAATAATGTGTGGATGCCTGATAAGTTTCCAATAAGTTGGGCGTCATGTCGTTTTTATGTAACTTGCTTTGTTACGTTTTCTTTTTATATTGATTGGGGAAGATTATATTTAGCCCATACACCAGTAATTTGAAACCTTTCAATTTTTTTAGTCATAAACTATTTTGGCACGGTTTGTATATACAATTCAAATTGTCCATTATACTTAAATATTTTTATGTTTGGAAATTTAGGACTTTGCTTTCTCCTAATAAATTGTGGGTCTATCATATACCTTATTTGTACAATGTGAGGAACATGCCAGCCTGTTCCTTTATTAGTGTAAAATTTTATGAGATTCTTGGACTCCAGTATTGGAAAATGGTGATTTCAATATTTTTACGTCCTCACATCATTAGGTAGTTTTAGCGAATTTCCCATATAGGAAATAAGCTATTACCGTAGTACTCATGGTAAGACCTGGACCCGGAACCGATTTACTTTTTCATTTTGAGGTCCCTAGAGACCAAAAACACCATCCGTTTAAATTCATATATATATATATATATATATATATATATTTATATATATATATATTTATATATATATATTTATATATATATATTTATATATATATATTTATATATATATATTTATATATATATATATTTATATATATATATTTATATATATATATTTATATATGTGTCCGTTAGCGCGATAACTCGAGCAAAAATCATACGATTTTGATGAAATTTGGTACAAACGTGTGAACCTACATTTATTCAAACGAGTTCGCGAACCAGCATGATCGGACTATAGGAACAGTTGTTTATGGGGGGATTTATGGGGTAAAAATTGGTTTTCCCATTTTTGACCCTAAAAACTTAAAATTTAGCAATTTCTTTCCAAACTATTTTGTAGAACTTAAAAAAACAAATAATTTAGTATATTGAGGCGTTATTATGCGCCTAATGGTTACGGAGAAAATTCCAAAAATCTGTAAATTTAAAATTCCTATGTTATTCTTATGGAGAATAATTAAACTGTTTTAGTTTGCTTGTTTATGAACATATTTTGATCAAATTTGGAAAATGCATTCTTTTTATACAAAAATATTACATTTTACAAAAAACACCTTTTTACCCTCCCTGTTGCAGCAAACCTAAGTACTCGTTAAACTAATGTTATTTAAATAGGGAATGAATGTGATATTTTTAAGGAGACGTTTTAGAGTAAATCCAATCAGGCAAATGGAAATTCGCTTAGTCTGCAGGTTTGCTGCGGCGGGGGTATTTTACATTTCTATAGAGTATAGATAAAATAATGCCAGATGATGAAGTTGACCCTAAGGTGACAAGAGACACAATGCCTTCTTATAAGCTGACACCATGTTCTTAAGAGTTGACAGCCTTCCAATACACTGACAGCAAGCCGTTACAAGGAAAGTATATTGCCTTCAATATAAAAACGTAATTTATACTTAAAACAGGATGTATTGTTGAGTCAAACATAGCTTGAAATAATACAAATATTATAAATGTGGGCTTTTAATTGTGATTGATTAGCTGAGGTTTTAATTAATTCTAATTCCTATTCTTTTTTCTTGAAAAATTGTTGAAACAATATTATTGTTTTTATATTTTGTCTAAATCATCGAATATGTATGTTGCGTGTTTAAAACTATAATTTTGTAACAATTTAGGAGAAAGGTAGTTTTGTTGTAAGCTCATCAGTCATTTTTAGCGAATTTCCCATATAGGGAATAGGCTATTACCGTAGTACTCATAGTAAGACCTGGACCCGGGACCGATTTTTTTTTTTCGTTTTGAGGTCCCTAGAGGCCAAAAACACCATCCGTTCAGATTCATATATATATATTTATATATTTTAATTTAGGTGTTCACTTAATAGGGCTGCTGATATATTAAATATTTAAGTAAATAAGTACAACTGAGCACCCTGAATATTATATTTTATAAAAAGAAGTGACATGTTTCGGACATTAGTCTATTTTCAAACTTCAAAATACATTAAACACTTAACCATTGTTTATATTGTTTGTTTGTAAATAAATATGATTTATATATACAGATGGTTTATAGAACTAGAAATCGAATGGATTCCACTGAAGAATATTTCATATACGAAGAAAATCTAAAAAATCCAAATCATATTTTAAATAGCCAAATTCCTTCAAAGAAACCCAATCTTTGACCAAATTTTAAAATTAAATAATCAGTAACAAAAAAGTTTTTCCAAATCCTGTCTAGTTCTATAAACCATCTGTATATATAAATCATATTTATTTACAAACAAACAATATAAACAATGGTTAAGTGTTTAATGTATTTTGAAGTTTGAAAATGGACTAATGTCCGAAACATGTCACTTCTTTTTATAAAATATAATATTCAGGGTGCTCAGTTGTACTTATTTACTTAAATATTTAATATTTATATATATATGTGTCCGTTAGCGCGATAACTCGAGCAAAAATTATCCGATTTTGATGAAATTTGGTACAAACGTGTAAACCTACGTTTATTCGAACGAGTTCGCAAACCAGCATGATCGGACCATGGGAACAGGGGTTTATGGGGGCTTTTATGGGGTAAAAATGGGTTTTTCCTATTTTTGACCCAAAAAACATAAAATTTTGAAATTTCTTTCCAAACTATTTAGTAGAGCTTAAAAAAACAAATAATTTAGTATAATGAAGCGTTGTAATGTGCCTAATAGTTACGGAGAAAATTCCAAAAAATTGTTAATTTAAAATTCCCATGTTATTCTTATGGAGAATAAGTAAACCGTTGTAGTGTGCTTGTTTATTAACATATTTTGCCCAAATTTGGAAAATGTTTTTATTTCTTACTAACTATTAACATTTTACATAAAAAAACACTTTTACCCTCCCTGTTGCAGCAAACCTAAGTATGTGTTAAACTGATTCTATTTAAATAGGGAATAAATGTGATATTTTTAAGGAGACATTTTAGTCTAAATCCAATCAGGCAAATGGAAATTCGCTTAGTCTGCAGGTTTGCTGCGGCGGGGGTATTTTTTTTTTTTTTTTTGCTGGTGGATTTTCAATGTGTAAGAAATACAAAAAAGGTTCTTGAATAAGGGTTTGTTTATTAAAAGAAAAGAAAGTTACAAACAAAAACCAATTTATGTAACTGAATCAATAAATTTTGTTTTCTGTAAAATAGCCACAAAGGGTATAATGAAAAATGTACCAACCATTTTACTAATTGAGATTAAAAAAAACCTATTTAATGTCATGAATCAGTAGACATTGGCAGGAGCTGCCTGAGCGTCCCCTGGATTAAAATAAGCATCGTTTGACTATTTTATTTTAAATCAAGGGGTAAATCTTATTTGCACAGAAATATGTACCAATAAAATATTTTATAATTACAGCACTGCACTAGTTGTTACGTAAATGATCTTTTTATCAAGGTGTTACACCATTGTCTTAATTGTGTACCCATTGAATGATAATTTCTTTACTAAAATCACAGACCTTACTCCATTCTACTCTCAATATTCTTTGATATTCCGCTTTAATTACGTGCCAAAGTGTGTCACTGTATTAGAAAATTGAAATTGAAATGAACACACAGTTCAAGGCACCTTGTGTATCACACATTCTTTACAACTATTCTCCTCGAATAGACCAAAAAACATTTCTTTTCAAGTACAAAAGGTGTTTTATATAGGCTAACAAGGACATAGCTTTTCTTATTTTGTGTCCTGTTTGATAGTATAGTTGATTTAATTCTTAGCGGTATTTTTAATCTTGCTCCATCTTTAACAAACCAGGGTAAAATCTAACTATAGTGGCAGATCATAACTTCTCTTGACAGAAAAATTTCGTTAGCAGCAAATAAGCATGGGTTTTATTTTAATCTGTATTTCCAGTCAAATTTATATTTTAAAACCCTACTTCTATTGTCGTGACAAAATACTTAAGGGTGCGCTCTACCTTTCTGCCAGGCGCAAGGGTTTAGGATCCCCGTCATTGTCGGCTTAGTTCTTAATCAATTGAAAACATATTTATGTTAATTTATTCATTTCTTATTTTTGTAGGCTTGTATTGTTTAATTTTTTTTGTAATAGTAGAGTTTTTAGGTGGGAAGTGACTGGAAATACTACACATACAAATACTTACACATACAAATGAATTTTTAGAAGAAAATAAAAATGATAGAGTCATAAATTTGAATCTAAGGAGTAAGGAACCTTCTTCAGATGAAAACTATTTTAAAAGCTAACTGAGTAATTTGAGAGGACTTAAAACTTCTGCAAGGGCTCCTCGCAACGCTGTTCAATGGCGCAACATAGCTAATGAAGCCCGAATGAATCAAACAATACAACCAGATAGCAAAATGTTTTTGAAACTAAATTTATATGGGTTAACAAGTTTTACAAAACAAATTTCAGACGCTAGATGCAATTAAGGAAATAGCAATTTTAAAAGAAAAACACTGTGTTAAAACAATGAAGTCTGTTAAATTGATTTAAAAGTTTAATTTATAACCAAACACTATAGCATACAGGAGTAATTTTAATTTATAATATTCTTAACGTACTTTCAAATAACCCAGGAACAATACGCTAAAAGATTGGTAGGGAGTGCTAAAACACCCTGTATATTTGAATTGAACTTGCAATGTACTTTAGATTGGACCAAGAGGGGATTCTGTTATATTTCTAATAACTGTACAAGAATTTAAACATACTTTTTATTTCTGGAATATAACTTTACAACAAAACAATTGAGAAGGAATAAAATATGATTATTTGATATATTATATTCTATATATTTAAAATTAAATATAAAAATATCTTCGGTTGCAATTTCTTTTTAAGATCGAGTCTTCATCAATAACACAGTTGATTGGACAGTAAGTGGGTTTCTTCAGTTAGTTATCATACATTTTTTATCCACTCTTGTGTCTCCATAATTTACAAGGCGATGATTTGTGTTCTAGTTTGGTTACCATCTCAATATTTTAGTAGTATCATTGACTTCATAGTCAAAGGTAGTTCTGTACCAAGCATTTTAAATAACAAGTACTAAATACATTTGTGTGCTATTTAAAATATATACATTCATCACCACATTTTAAAAACAATACAATTTTTACTTTATAGGTAAATAGCAAATTCTTAGAGTACAGTACTTGAACAATTCAATAGGAACCTTGCCGTTTTGACTTTCTCTCCATGTACCTTTGAAGAGCATCATTAAATACAGCCCCAACTGTTCGTTTCTGCCAAATATTTTTAAGGGGCTTAGTTTCTTTTTGAACAACTGGTGCCACGAGTAGTGCTTCACTATTTGATTTATCTATAGTCTTTTCTTTTTCATCAGTCAGTTTTTTCTTCTTGCTATCGATTGTTTCTTCTACTACTTTTGTCGGTACTTCAATATTTTCCTTATCACGAGTCTCGGATTGTTTTCTTGACGTAGGATGATCCTTCTCTTTCTTTTTCTCAGGTTCTGCTTTCTTTAGAACTTCTTTAGGCTCATTCTCAGTCTCAGACTCACTACTGGAGCTAGGAGAATCAGATGAACTTGAAGAGGTTTTCTCACCTTCTTCTCTAGAGCTTGTTGACCTCTTGCGTTTTCTATATTGACGTTTTTGTTTTGTGTTATCAACCTGCTTGAAACTTTCCTCATTCTTTTCTTTGACAGGACTCTTTTTTATTGGTGATTCTGACTTTTCCTTTACTTTCTCTTCATCTTCCTTCTTTTCTTGTTTCGGTTCACCTTCCACTGTTGTTCTGTACAAGTGTCTGTAGAATCCTGACATGTCCGCTTGTTTTGTTACATCGCCAATCTCTGCAAATAAAACACATTTCAATGTAGCAAAAGTGAATAAATAGATAAGATTAAGAACAATTGATAGGCATAATTTTTGCAAAGCTAAATGCCATTGTCTGGTGCTTTGTTCAACTCAAACAGGAGCTATATAGATAGGGAGACGCTTACTGTCATACAGCCACACTGCCACTGAGCTCATCTTTCACCAGTATATGTAAGGACCCAAACATATAAATATTCCAATCTGGTAGGCTTACTACATTGGAAAACTGACATTTTATAAGTCACATTTCTGTGCTCTATGTAAAATCAAATTCTTTAATTCATTGAACCTTTGACCAAAAGTATTTTACAAAAGGGACTAAATCATATTTTATGAGCAACTTTTGTCTATTTTAACCCAAGCTATCCCCCATTTGTATTTTAATAGCCTCTCCGACAGAACTCTACCTCAAACAGTTGATTTTAACATGAGTTGCAGACCAGACTAGAACAAGTCTGCATTACTACCCTCAATCATTCTATCTCCTGGCTGGAGAGACAACCCTTTAGACAGCTTTGACCAATAATTAGACCTATCTGTCTACCGCACTTAAGTCGTTCAATGGAAAGACAATGCGTGATACTGCTAAGCTTATCTCCCAGGTTGCAATAGACTCATGGATTGTATGTGGCAGTTTTTGTTATGTTGTCTGATGTCTCATATGCCTATATCTGGCATTAGAACTCAATAAAATGGTTGGTATATTATAATGACTGTGTTGAAAAACTATCAAATATGTTTAAGATAAGTACAAGGGTTAGGTTACCTTCTAGCCTATCCATACGCTTTTCTTCCTCATCCATTTGTTGAAACTCCTGTAGTTTCTTCTTGTATGATGAAGTAACAAAAGTTTCTTTGTCCTTAAATTGCTCGCCTTCTTCTTCTCTTTCTTTTTGGACTTGACGTTCAAGTCTCCTCTCATTTTCCAGCTTCCGCTTCTCCGCATTTCTTTTTAAAGACTGGATGTAGCGAGACTGTAATGAACAGAGGAAATGTAATTCTGTGACTATATCCTAGCCCAGGCAACTTTGCTTGTAGGGCTATCAAGGATTTTAAAAAACACAGTAGAACCCTGGTTAAACAGACTTCGGTAGAAAAGTTTGGTGCAGGTGGTAGAAAACTTTAAGTTTAAATAATAAAATACCCAAAAAAATAATAATAATAAAATAAAACATATGGCCAAACAATGTTCAGACAACACTGTTATCCACCCCAATCTTGGCAGGACCGGGGACATCTTCTTTAAATACCACGATAATAAAGAGAATTAATGAAACATGGTGAACAAAATTCGGCGATAGGCTATTGGCACTAATTAAGCATTTCTGGGTTCTTACAAAATTAACATACAATCACCCAATATCCTGTTGACTGGACACTCTGGGGCCCGTTTCATATCTAATTTTTCAAACCACCTCGATTGCACAGCCCTCAAGTAGAAGAACACCTCAAGAAACATTGTCATAGACACCTTTACGAAAGACTAAATCAATATTCTGTTGAAATTTTGTTTCTGGTTCTTAAGATGTTTGTTTATTTTAATTTTGGCCAGTACAAATTTCAAGGGCAACAAGCTAATTACAATATGGTTATCAAATTTTAAATTGGGATGTATAGAACTTACTTGTTTCTTTTCTTCTTTCTTTGGCCCAGTGCTGCCTTTCTCTTTTATGTCTTCGTAAACCTCATCATATTGGAATATGCTTGGATCCTGACTAAGGGCTTTCTTAATCTGAATCTTTGTCTGCCTTTTCTCAACAGATTTAGCTGCTTCACGCTGAAACAAATGTGAGATGTATAAATTTACAATTTTTCCCTTACAATATGCTTTTGGTAATTATCTTGATTGTTTCAAATTACTTATAGAATGTTTATTTAATTTGATTCATTAAATCACTTTACATTGGAAGTGTTACCTGTATTATCCAAAACTGACTTGCTTAGGCTACTGATTATGTCTCAACATGATTGTTTTTACATTGTATAAAAACTACATCCACTAGCAGTAGATGCCTAAGCAGAAGACTTCCCAAATTGTTTCCTTTTAAATTTCTGTTATAACTAGTTTGTGCATTTAAAACATGTCAGTAATGAGGAAGAGTTATGGTTGATAGTGGAAAAGGAATCATAGTTACTAGAAATGTTGACATAAACAAAATGCAACGAATGTTACTAGCATAAATGTAAGACATTGTACCATGCAGAGAGAAGAAATTGAAAAATACCAATGATGCCTTTGATGCATTGACATCATCAACAGCTTCTTTTATTGTGATTCAATGATTTTTCATAAATATTAGTCTTCTTTTTCTGTATTTACGTCACATGATAACACTCTAAAGCACCCATATTATTTGTATTTTTTTTATATTTTTACAGCCACCTTGACAGACCACCACTTTGTTCAATTTTTGTACATCAAATTTTCAACAAACAAAGTAGCAGAGCACGTGAGATCCAATCTAAACTGCTGTCACAGATCAAGTAAACAAAGAACATAATAAAATGTACTAGTAATTGTTGTCATAAGGGGTCTTTATAGGCCTACTACCAGGATTTGAAAAAAAATTTAACGACAACCAAAATCTCCAAATCTACAAAATGACAGAATTTCTGTTATTGTCAGAGCAACGCACCTCATATTTTCAGTTATGCTTCTCATTTGCAGCAAAAAACATGATCATTACATTATTCAGACTTTTTTGGCTAAATGAGCTATCTCTATCAATTGAATAAATTGAAGCTCTAGTTTTATTTTATCTGGTTTGTTTTTAAATTGCGATTAAGCCTAATGAGACCAAGAAGTCAATAATTGTTGCTCTCCAATGTCCTATGACCTATGATTAAAACAGTGAATTGTTTTTGTCGCTATTCTGAAAAGAAGACATACACATTGTTAACGTCATGGTGTATCACCAATCAGTTATACCTTTGACTTTGATACAACTAGACATTCCAACTCCATGTTAAATTTGTAATCAAAACCGTCGTAGGTAGTTGGGGAGAGCCACCGATAGACTGTGCGCTGATCTAAATTACTAATAATTTCTGTTGAATAACCGAATAACCTAGGCCTACCTACGTGAAATCTTTTAACAAGTCAAACCAATGGAATGACTTATAGTGAGCTATTGCAACTCTGTTATGACCCAACCTAGTTAGCAACATAAATTAGGGTGTAAATAGAGTTTAGCCACTAGGGGATTCTGTGGCTGGCTCACACAGCGTTCTGTTTTAATAAAAAATGGGTGACTGCTGATCCATATAGATGGGATGTCTTCTTTAGTATCTAATAGTAAATGGCTTACCTAAATTAACCCACCTGGTAAGCCTTTTTTACCCAATCTCCCCCTTCCTTTCCTGAGTCTTCTGAATCACTTTCTTCATCAAAAATAGAAGGTCTGTGTATAACATCTTGACCGGCTCCTTTTTTCGGCAGTATAAGACCATACCTAAATAGAAAAAGGTACATTACTTAGTAAGTGAATCTCAACAATTACACTTTAATTTTAATCTTATTTTAAAAACAAACACAAAAATCAACCAGGCCTAACTTTATTTCTAGACCTCAGACCTCATTATTGAGGATTACTTGCATGAACTTCTCATTAAGCTAGGCTACATAAGGCTATTTGAAAGTAGACTACAACTAGGGATAGCCCTATGCATTGAACTGGAAACAGATTCATTCACCACGAAAAGTAAATAATTATAAACAATTAGTTATTTCAATGACATCTTCTCACAACTGTAAGACTATGTTAACCATCAGATGTATAATGCACCTCTATCACAGTGGAAAGGTTCAGTATTAAGGCTACAGATTGTTCAAACGAAGATAATGTGTAAAGGACCAAAACGTTAATATATACAACTTCATTGGTTACCTTAAATCAGTCTTAGAAATATTTACAATTGGACTGTATCTTAGGCTTAGAAGTTACTTGGTTTCATTCTATAACAAACTGATTTTATTCCTTCTTCATATTTAGTCTATAAGGTTAGATCGGAGTTGGGTTTTTTTCACTCGTATGTATCTTTACACTAATAACAAATTGCATTAATATGATAAGCTACCAAAAGTAAAGTTATCAGGTAGACCTAGAATAATACAATTTAAATTAGTCCTACTGATAACTTGGTTTTTTGTTCGATATATATAATATATTAGGCTGCGGTATAAAATAGGCAAGCACTAATTTTGTTGTCAGAACTCCTCCGTGGATTCTTAACAGATTTTTTTAGTTCATGGCTCATTTGAAAGGTCTCATTGAGTTAAAAAATGTCCCTTAAACTCTGCTTCAGTGCCTCTGTTTAACGTTCCCATGCTATCCTTATGAAGAACATATGTTGTTTACATTATGATCAGTTGCATAATTAAGTGCTGTTAACATTTAAGTTGCAATTACCTTATTACCAAGGGTGCGTTGTTGGCCAGCATAGCTGGATAAACTGCGTAAATTTTAAAATAGAAAATTATATTTAAAACAACAAAGTAAGTCTTGTACTTATCTTTCAAGGAATAAAATTTAAGATTTCAAAATAAAAACTTGACGGGTGACTACGGAGGTGATGTGCACTCTACCATTTGTCATCAAAATACTCTCAGTCTTTATGGAGTAGTAAGCTCTTTGATGAAACCTATCTCGTACAACCCTGGCAAGGCAAATGTTTTTTTCTTTGAAGACTCTGATGATCTCTGGGGGGAGCTTGTTGTACATCTTCCAAGAAAAAGCAGGGAAACGGCGCTGTGTTCCCTTGAGGCAGAATATAGGAATGTCAATTTTGATTCTGCTGCGTGTATTATAACTATGAAAATCTCCTCTGGTCTTTAGTAGCTCAATGTTCAACCTGACTTGTACAAGGGAGGAGAATATATACTGCCCAATGCACTTTTAGCCTACTAAAGATTGGTTTACAATGTTTCATAGGAGCGTTAGATGTTATGGCTCTCAAGGCAGATTTTTTTAGCCTAAGTAAGTTACTTTATCACATCCTGAAGCATCCCGAAGCGCCAGAGAAGTATGCCGTAAGTTAGGTTACTATGGAACAGTATGTGTTATGTTACTTAGATTTTTATAAGGAAGGCTTCACTAAGCTACTATTCAGTACGCAGCAGAAAAAACAATTCTAGATAGGCCTAACTGTTTTACTTATATCTCATCAATTTGAGATTGCCAGCTTCAGGGAAACACTTTCTACAAACATTTAAGTTACTGACTTACTTTGTTTGAATTAAATATTTACATAAAGCCTATTTTTTGTTTTAAAACTATTTTTTTACTATTTTTAGTTAGGTACGTAGTGATGTGTCTGAGCTGCAAAAGGCCTCATGAAATTAAAAATTTTTTAGGCTAACCTCTGACACAGGAATTTTCATTTGGTTTAGGCACCTTTAATAAGTTACCGGTAACTCAAACTATGCCCAAGACAAACTAAGTTAAGTTAACTTATACGTAACACGAGGAATAATGGCAGTTCCGTGGAATTTCGTGTAAGCGAGAGTCATAGTGCAAGTTATATATAAGTTATACATAACTTGCATATATATATATATATAGATAGATTAATATATATATATATATATATTATATAGGGTAGACTTCCGTATCTGTTTGCACAAACAACTGAATGAAAATATTGATTAGGCTATTGTATTGTTTCATTCGATACGGTATATCGTTGGGTAAGTTAGCTTAGGTTAACCTTACCTAACTAACCAAACGATAACGAATAATGGATACAGGTATTGAATGAATAATCGATATATCAAACGATATTTTCATTCGGTTGTTTGTGCCAACAGATACGGAAGTCTACCCATTAGATGTATAACTTATAATTGTATATGTCATATTATATAAAATTTTCAATGAACAGTGTTTTTGGCCTCTAGGGACATCAAAATGAAAAAGTAGGCCTAAGTTAAATTGGAAATTATTGCGATAAGGGTGACCAAGGCTTGCTATAGTAATTTATACAGGGTGACACAAAGGAACCGGACGTATTTTAAACAGCTGTTCTATTGTTGTCGCAAGTGAAGATTGAAGTTATGTCATTACCTTCAGTGAGGCTTGCCATTTTTGTTGAAATGGCTCAGTGGACCCTAGACCATCGCAATTTCGCATACGATACTTTAGTCCAAAAAGGTGAATCCGTCGTCAAATCCAGCAGGAATTTAGTCGACATTTTAATATTGAACGCCATGGAACAGTTCCAAGCCGAAATCTATATATTTAATACACAGTTGTAACACTGTTTTCCCAGTAAACTGGACCGATCTACAAGATTTATGTCTCAAATTAAAGGGGATAGTGTGTAGATTTGCCGAACTTCCTTAGAATTTACGTTTTTTCTAAGGGCTACGACCTACAGCCCTTTAAAGGTCGAGTCAATACAATTCTTATTGAAGAATATAATACACAGTTTATAAATTATTCGTCAGCTGTTTAATGTTTGTCAGACATTTGTTATTATTTTTATAACCTCACTATGCAAAGTAATCGTGGTATGCAATTATTAAACTTGGAGTTTCTGTTTATAAACACACGATTTTGATCAAGGAAAGTGTATTTGTTAACTTATTTTTGAAATGTTTTAGTTGTCCTACAAAGTGATCTGAAGGAAAGTGGTAATTGAGTTTAAGTTTGAGTATGGAGTGTGAAATAATACCCATAGTAGGGAACGGAAACTTATTGTTTTGATCAATATAATTTATTCTCTACGGCCACCAGAATAATCATGGGGAAATCCGCTTGCAAGTTGTACATATAATTGCTAATGAGTGGGAAACATACAAACATTTTATAGTAGGTGACGAATCTTACTCAAGATCAGTGTTAGACGTTCAATGGTACCAAACTATACCTTCTCGAGATGGCCAGTACGCTGGGATACGTGGAACTACAATATATCAGTGAATTTGTTTTTTTCAAGTACACAGGGAAGTTGCTTGAGAAACTGTGACTTACCATTCGGTTCTGGGGAAGAAGTATGTGACTTGATGTTTAATGGCAATGTTGACTCGGGTCATTATAGCGTTATAAAACTTTATAATTAACCCCAGGGTGAGAGAAGTACAAAAAGAAAAATAAAAGGTAATCATTAACCGGGCGTAAAGAGACATACAGAACGAAAAAAACATGTAGAGAACCATCGAACTAAAAAGGTAAAGAGCAGTAATGGTGTTAAATGTGCTCTGGAAGTCCCAAAAAAAAAACAAAAATACCAACTCTTTTGAATTGGGGTCGTTAGATTAGATTTGTCACTACTTCAAATCTATGAATTTCGAGTCAGAACAGACTAACTGGGACACAAAAATGTTTAAGTTTTCCTGCAAAGTGATCTGAAAGAAAGTGGTAATTGAGTTTAAGTTTGAGTATTGAATGTGAAATAATACCCATAGTAGGGGACGGAAACTTATTGTTTTGATCAATATAATTTATTCTCTATAGCCACCAGAACAATCAGAGGGAAATCCGCTTGCAAGTTGTATAGATAATTGCTAAGATTGGTAAACATACAAACATTTTATCGTAAGTGATTAATCTTACTCAAGATCAGTGTTCGACGTCCAAATTTTACCTTCTCGAGATGGCGAGTACGCTGGGATATTTGGAACTACAATTTATCAGTGAACTATACCCTAACTATATCTGTTCGAGTAGGCCTACACAGGGAAGTTGCTTGAGAAACTGTGACTTACGATTTCGGTTCTGGCGAAGAAGTATCTGACTTGATGTTTAATGGCAATGTTGACTCGGGTCATTATAGTGTTATAAAACTTTATCATTAACCCCATGATGTGAAAAGTACAAAAAGAAAAAGAAAAGGTAATCATTAACCGGGCGTAAAGAGACATACAGAACGAAAAAAACATGTAGAGAACCATCGAACTAAAAAGGTAAAGAGCAGTGATTGTGTTAAATGTGCTCTGGAAGTCCCAAAAAAATACCAACTCTTTTGAATTGGGGTCGTTAGATTGGATTTGTCAATACTGCAAATCTATGAATTTTGAGTCAGAACAGACTAACTGGGACACAATTATTTTTTCCTTATGTTGTCACAAGGGGAAGGTAAAATGAACTCCTTATCAACATTTTGAGTTTATGGAAAATCTTATCAACAGCGACTATAAAAAAAGTATTAAGGGTCAAGAGACAAAAAACAATAGAGTTAAGAGTAAAATATAATACAAATCTGCATTTGAAATGGCCAGTTCTAAGTCTCACTTGAATCAACATATTTCTGGTAGTGGTAGTCTACATAGGTTTAAAATCCACGACTCCTTTTCCATCAAATTGGACCGTTAATACCCTCTAACATTGAACAAAGTAAGCCCAACTTTATACATACGACGTAAACACAGCTTTTACTCACAGTATAGGTCAAAGATTCGTGAAATGCGACCAACTGCTGATGCGTGATTTACATGTAGGCTAAGTGACTATCTTTATTCCATACAACAAATGTAATGAAAAAAAAAACTACGAATATAGGAATATACTTGAGCAAATTATCTAAATATCATAAATAGCTGCTTATTAGGTTATCAGCATTGCCCAGTTCGTATACTATTTATTTTTCAAATGAAACTCGAATTAATATAAAACATTCATTTGGTTAAAATAATATATCGGTTTGATTAACATAAAATAGTTTATACAGGCAAACTATCAGTTCTATTTCATGTAAAAAATTAAACAACCCCTAAATAAAATACAAACATAAACAGTATTTGTTAATTATTATTATTTCTTTTATTGCTGACAATATTCCCGTGGCGGAGCACGGGCGGTTAACTAGTACGCTATTAAGACGGCTTTCAGGGTTCCGAACAACTGGGAATATTACAAGAAAAAACCACCAGGCCTTGTCAGAACTTCGAGAACACCCTAAAACATCGCCAGGGTGAGAGCAGTATTAGGCTAAATGAATGTTTCCTAACAAGGTGATTTCTCGCTTTGGTGACATACCGTGGCCGCCAAGGTCACCTGACTTGTCCACTAGTGATTACTCTTTGGGGGTTTCTTAAGGAGTGTGTTCATGCTCACAAACCACACACTCTAGAGGATTTGAAGTTGGCAATCACAGAAGATATCAATGGCATTGAACAAGACCTCCTGACCCGAGTTTCAGATGATTTTCAGACCAGAATGAACATTTGTAGAGAAGTATATGGCCGCCATATGCATGACGTCATTTTCAAATAAATTACTGTTTTGTAACCAAAATGGCAAATGTTTGCCTCACTATGTACATATTAAAACCATTTGATTCCTTTTAACTACTGTGTACTACTTATTTAAAAAACAATGGTGCAAAAATTTTTCTGCTGTCACAAAAACTGAATTAACTACGATTTTTTGAATTTACTTCAGTTCTTATTTAGACATGAGAGGTTGGTAGGTTGGGTGTTATGCGGATTCGTGACTGTATTTAAGTGTTTTGAAGTTCGGTTAGATTAGGAAGGTAAAGTTTAGGTTATAATGAATCGAGTTGTTGAATTATAGGCTATTATCTCCAGACTGTTTTTGCACTTAGGCCTAGTAAAAAGTACTAGAAATACAATAGGTATATAACAAATTATTATTTATCGTGTTTGTTACTTTTTACTGAATGCAAAAACAGTCCAACAACTCGATTCATTATAACCTAAACTTTAACTTCCCTAATCTAACCTACCTTCAAAAGACTTAATATAGTCACGAATCCACATTACAACCAACCTACCTATCTCACATATGTCTTTTTCAACTTATAAAACAAATTATAAGCTATTCGAGAAGTTTGGTTGGGTTATGTTAGGTTAGAATAGTGTCAATTTGTTGTTTGATCATTTTATTAAAACTGCCACTACACTATATTATCATAATGGGACATAACGGTTACCTAGGCCTACACGGTCAAAACCTAAGCTAAGCCACTTGGTTAAGTGGAGAGAAGAACAAAATGAATTCCTTCTTCAATTTTCATAAACCAGCCCAGATCGAGATTAAATATGTCCGACCTAAGAGGTGTTTATTAATGTTATACTTAATTTTAATCAAATTTTACATAGGCCTAGGCCTATAGCCTACTTAAATTAAGTTAAGTTACGGCAACGTATTTTCTAAGTGTGGGTTGTGAGGGTAATATTTACTTTAAAATAGCATTCTTCAGGAATATAATCAATCAATAATTCGATTTTGCAGTGTAAACCTTGAAGTGTAGACTCAACGTTCCTAATACAAAATTAAAATAAAATTCAAAAAATCGTAGTTAATTCAGTTTTTGTGACAGCAGAAAAATTTTTGCACCATTGTTTTCAGGTAAAAATCTAGTTTCTAATGATATAAATTACTATAGAACCCTTGGTCACCCTCATCGCAATAATTACCATTAAATTATATCGGTCTCGGCTCTAACTAGTAGGCTCTACCATGCCACCGGGTAGACTTCCGTATCTGTTGGCGCAAACAACCAAATGAAAATATCGATTGATGTATCGATTATTCGATAGGCCTATATCGATTGGTAAGTTAGGTAAGGTTAACCTAACCAAACGATAGCCTATATCGAATTAAACAATCGAATAATCGATATTTTCATTCGGTTGTTTGTATAGAGAGGTCTACCCATGCCACCTATGGTAATAGCTACCGGTAGGCTACTTTTGTTCCTATAGGAAAATTCGCTGGGGTACACTTCTATATCTGTTGGCACAAACAACCGAATGAGTAATAACGATCGAAATATCGATTAGGTATTCGATATATCGTTTAGTTAGTTAGGTAAGGTTAACCTAACCTAACTAACCAAACGATATATCGGATTAAACAATCGTATAATCAATATTAATCATTCGGTTGTTTATGCCAAACAGATATGGAAGTGTACCCATTCGCTGAAATAAGTTAGCCTCTAGGCTTAGGCCTATGCCAAACTGTGAACAAAAAGAAAATTTAAAAACCAGACTTTTGCATATTTACCCTACGTTTTGGCTATATTACACACCTAAGTTATGTGAATCACCTTAACTTAGGCCTAATTACTATTAGGTATAGCCTAAGTTAGGCCTAGGTACATTAACTTAGGCTAACTTAAATTGAAGAATGATCGAGTGACTGTAACACTTACTGTTTATCTCCGGACATTATGAAACACTAACACAGAAGTTATTAGACAGCAAAAATATAAATTTATAATCTTGGACTCAATTATTTAATAACCTAACCTTAATAAAATAAACACAAACACTAACGCCGTAACGCCGATTGTTGACAAGACGACTGATCGAGATTAATGATGATTGACGAGACGATTTTTATTTATTTTTTTTTTTAAATCAGCTGCTGCAGCTGCAGCTCAGATATTTATTTTCAGCTGGGCAACTTGCCTTTTTCTCTTTCGGATTCGGACCCATTGGGGGTCGAGTTCCCACAAGGCTCAAGGGACGCTCCGTTCTGTGCGTGACGTCATAGTGATGCACCTTTCCCATATTCCAGCTTTCCAATTCCAAGATTGCTTCTTCAGATCATTTGCACTGTTTGTGAAAGTGTCGTAGTTGACGTCAGTCTGCCTTTGCAAAATGTCAAAGTGTCAAATCGCCAAATTAGCTTGTTTATTTAAAATGTTTAATATTGATAGATCATTGTTAATATTTCGACTTGACATGGGATAATATATTAATATCCTACAGTTCTTGAAATGGTACCGTGAAATATATACAAAGAATTTTCAATTAAAAAAACTATATTTTGAAAGAGCTCTATTCGTAAGCTAGATAACCTTCCAATTTTAGGGTACCGTAACAAGAAGCTCCATCCATACTAAAATATTTTGAATTTTAAGCCCTCCCTTTGACGCTTTGACCCTTTGACACTTGATCTCTGTTATACTCGTAAATGTTTACCAAATTTATTAAATATGTCATATTAACAGTAACCAAAAGTCAATTAAATTAGCTTAATAACTCAGACAGCACACTTTATCCCAGGGACATCCCATAGTAGTCCCATATGTCCTGAGAATGTCTCGGGATATGTGCGCTATCCTCAGGATATCCCGCAAAATCCCGGGACGAGGACGAAATCCACAGGATATCCTACAATATACTGTAATGTCCCGGGATTTGTAAGTTAACCTCAGGATATCCTGTAAAGTCCCGGGATATGTACGAATGCCATAGGATATCCCAGAATGTCCCATGACATCCCGGGACATGTAAAAAATCCACTGGATATCCTGTAATGTCCCGTAATGTCCCGGTAACAAACTGAAGAAAAAATACTACCACTGATGAAATGTACAGTATATCTAAATTTAAATGTTCAACAAGGCCAATATATAATAATTTGTTTTTTTCACTAGTGCTTTCAGAAACTTGGTTTCCATCTTCAGGCTGTGTTTACACTAAGTACAGAAAGTAAATATTTACTTAATAAATTAATTTTAAACAAAGTTAAAACAGATGATTTAAAGGATATTGGAAAAATAAAAAATAATATTAGAAAAATTAATCTTTTGAATTTTGGATATGGTGTAATGGTCAAATTTATTAGGGGGGGGGGGTTCGTTTTAATTATTTAAAGACCACGAAGTGCTAGAGTGCGCTCGACAACAATTATCGGAAATAAACATGTCCAGTTGTCCACTTGTCAAGGCTCCTAGTTCGTGACTTGACCGCCGCGACCTCGGGGCGCTGACGTAGACGTGGTGGGGAGAAGCCGAGACCGGTGGACAGTGGACAGTTCTTAGGACAGTCTACGGCGAGCGCTTGTTCGCCTAACAACCTTCCTCAAGAGCGTGCAGCGGACCTGTGCAGCGGTCGTCGATTTGATTCGTAACGTGCGAGGCAACATAAAAGCGAAAAATAATACATCGAGAGAAGTATCGTCAGACGTAAGTACTGTGGTATATCATTACGTTAATAACCATCTTATTTCCCCGTTTTACTTTGGCGAGTAAGAGTTACCATTTACTATAATCTTAGTTGTAGGTGATTAGCGTATTGTATTTCTCGGGCCGGCACTGCGTGTGCGGTGCCACAGTAGCCTACACTTTTTAGTTTATTTATCGGAAGTTATTTTATTTTATTTTACCTAAAAGTATTTCATTTAGTTATATTTCGAAGCCAAGAAGTTCATTGGCATATTAGCGCTGACGCCATTTCATTTCGTTATTTTGTTATTGCGCGGGTCGACCTTTTATTTCATTACGAGAGTTTTATTTTTAGTTTTATTCGAGAAGCGATACCTTTTGTTAGACTAGAAGCTGGTCACTTATTTTAATTCTCATAACAGCATCGTATTTAGTGCCGATATATTCCTGGTCAGCGCGTCGTTGTGCTGACACGCAACCATAGTCTCGGGTACGTGTAGGACGAAAACATATACGAAGATCGAGAGGCGGCGAGCGAGCGACGAGGACTGCTAGCGAGAACCCTGGACTACTCCTGAGCTGTCGCTGTCCGAGCAAATCGGAGGTAAGTTTACGATAGGTGCCCTACCCGACATAAACACCTCACAATGTTACAGTGTTGTTCTTGATGTAATTATTTTCAGTAATTCCGAATTTATAATTGGGCCGTCTTCATTATTTAACAAATAATTTTGGTCTGTTTTTTTTTCTAAAAATAAGATTTCCACGCATTAAGATGTTGAGGTTTTATAATTTATTTTAAAAGTTTAAGGTTTCCCAGATTGAAAATATGTCTTGTTAATACTATGGCTAGCAAGGGTTGACTTTACTTTACTGACATATTACTACCACTGAGTTCAGGAAAACTAGAGTTCTATCATAGTTGTGTGAAATGTGAATTTAATTCTAACTTTAAATTAATAAAACAACAAAAAACTAATTTTAATCATATAACAATCAATTATTACAGTGCTAATCTAATGGTGATTAAATAATCTATATTCAAATACCAGTATCCTCTCCAACTACCAGAAAAACAATTCAACTACTTGAGGCCTAAACAGATTAACAGAATCATATATAGCCTATACTGTTGTATCAATATTTTAAGTATTGCGACCATTGCAACTGTCGGCTACTCTTTAACCACTTGAAAACACCCATAATCAACAAGCGCAGATAGCTCAGGAGGTAAGGTAAGAGGCTCACAAGGCGAAGGTACCAGGTTCGAAACCCGTCTGGGCCAAAAACTTTTTTCTCGTTTTTCTCTTCAAAATTTATGTTTATTAACTATTTAATCAATTTACTAAACCTATAATTAAGCTTTTCATACTAAATCTATATTATTTTGTGTTTTTTATGTTCAGGCCCAGACCACACTTTATCCCAGGGACATCCCATAGTAGTCCCATATGTCCTGAGAATGTCCTGAGGACTACCCTGGGATGACCTCGGATGTCCCACGGATATGCGTGTGAGCTTATCCGTAGGACATCCCCGGGCGGGGACATTACGCATTCCTGTGGATATCCTGTGATATCCCAAGTTGACCATAGGACCACTATGGGATATCTTGCATATCCTGTCGCAATATCCGTGGGATGTCCTGAGGAGAAAGTGTGCTGTCTGGGAAATAGCTATTTACCTTACAAGTGTAGTAAGAGCATTTTTACAGCACTGCATAATTGATGATAATTTAATTGATAAGTGATGTTAACACGCGCTCTTGCGTAACGTGTAACGTACCAGATATTTTACATGACCTGACAACATACAGGGGGTTACTTACAATATTTTTCACTATCCATTTCACTCATTTTCTAACAGTAACGTTCTTTTACAAACAAAAGCAAGGTTAGGAAAATTCTTTAAAGCATAACAATAAAATTCAAGCGCACAGCTGATTTCTAGCGTTGAACGTCGTTGGCTCCATAGAGGTATATTTTTTTTAAGTTGAGCACTCAAATGTTATTTAAATGGGTTTCATTACTTCACCGGGTGAGTTTTTGAAACTTTACTTCACGAGTGAAACTTTACCCAACCCGCCATGTTAAACTTCCCTATCCCAAGTGTGATGTAAACAACTTACTTCACGAGTGAGGTAACTCGCTTCCGCTCGTTGCACAACATTCACCTGCGTGATGTAAAAACGCTCTTACTACACTTATAAAGTAAATAGCTATTACCATATATAAAACATACTTGAGGAGTATGTTTTATCTATGATATTACCCCACACTATACAGTTTTAACGAGCTTCCCACGCAATGATTTTGTCCAGAAAGTAGCTGTTTGCCGCCAGCTTAATCAAATGGTGTTTCATTACGTACAACTGTACTGTAATGAGCTTTTACCGTACACCAACGAGCTTATTACAGTATATTACATTTGGCTATTTGTGGTTACAAACAAAAGCATAACATCTGATTATGAATAGTTATTGCAAGTCCTTTAGTCGGTGGGATTACATAAGGATTTGTACAGATTTTTCTTATGTAGTATGGCGTAATGTGTTAAACTCAATAACTCATTTATTGAACTCCTTTACCGGTCTCATAATATGAGACATATTATGGTAATCCCGCACTCGACATCGTTGTGAAACCACTAACCAGAATCACTAAAATGGACAAGGAAAAGGAATGGAACTGGAAAGTGTGAACGTCATGAAATCGTGACGTCGAGCCTACGTCACGGAACGTCCCTTGAGCCTTGCTGGAAACCTGGAACTCGACCCCAACAGACAGCAGCATTGCATTGAGTTTTTTTACAGTTCCAGTGTTGCCTAGTTTATTAGTTAACTGCAGTTTTGTTTTTTGTTTTGACTGGAAGAATTAATTACTAATTAGTGAAGCAGAAGCTTGAGATGGAGATTTGAGAATAATGAGGTTATGTTTTGCTTGAAGACGAGAATTTGTTTATGTGTGTTTTAAGTTATATTAAGTTAAAAACAGCTCATTTAACTTGACCAAATTTTTTAATGGTGATAATGGATTCAAGTAATCCAGCCACTATAGCCTACGGACAATATGTCATTTTTCAGAGGAAAGAATACAACAAACTCCATTTGTTGTCCGAAAAGACAAGTAGTTTATTTATGGGCAAGGATAAAATTGAATTAGATGCAATTTTTGGGGAAAAACTTGGTTCTACATTCAAAATTGTCCCAAAAGTAGGATGTAATAGACAGTTTACGCTTCAACTGTGTGATACAAGTAATGTTTCCTGTGGTAAAGAATCTTTAAAAGAGTTAGGCATAGGCAGTGGATTGGACAACCGAAGCATTCGTGATGATGGATCATCACAGTCGTTGACCTCAGGTAACATAGAATTACTAAGAGATAAAGGTATCGCTCCTAAAGTTATAATTGAGCAGCTCGTAGAAAATAGCAAAACTTTCCACATCAAGACAGAATTTTCCCAGGAAAAATACATAAAGAAGAAAGAAAAAAAATATTTTGAGTTCATCACCATCAAAAGCCCTTCAATAAGACTAATATCAGAAATATTTTACAATAGAGATTTGCCTAAATCAGTTGGTATACGAAGTGACACAATCTCACAGATTTCCACAACACTCAACTTGCAACCTAATGGAAACTATATTTTGGTGGAAAATGGTTTCAGTGGTATGGTAGCAGCTACTCTTCTTAATTATTTATCATCCAATGGAAAATTGATTCACATTACCCCTGGTAACCAAAATCAAAAACAAGCTGTTCTAGCCATGAATTTTTCAAGTGATCAAATGTCCCGACTAACAACAATTCGTTTGTCAACAATGTTAGAGTTGATTGATCAAGCTCAACCAACCAATAAAATTTTAGTAGATAATATTACACCCGCAGCTCCTGAAACAAGTGTTACTTCTCTACCATTAGCTATAGAAACAAACAACCACACAAAATCAAATGAAAGGTGCAGCTTGGATGAAGAAAATAAGACAAACTCTAGTTCAAGCCCTGAGCCTCGCAAAAGGAAACATTCGGAAGAAAATATTAGTACTTCAAACACTGAATCTGGAGGTAAAAAGCCCAGGTGGGCTCTCGAAGCAGAATTGGCTGTAGAAGTGATCCAGAAAAAAGTTGATGGTTTGGTAATAGTGTGTAAAGAATATCCTACCAACATTCTGAACAAGCTTTTAACCTACCTTTTACCATCTAGACCCTTTGTAGTGTACTCCCTGTATCAAGAGCCACTTGTGGCACTCTATTTGCAGTTGAAACAGAGACACGACATTGTGTATTTAAGAATAACAGAAACTTGGCTGAGGCCGTATCAAGTTCTGCCTGAAAGAACACATCCATTTGTTACAGTTAGCTCAAGCAGTGGTTATTTGCTGAGTGGGGTCAAAGTTCTTAACAAATAATTTTTGTACTTATAACAGTCATTAATTTTTTGTAATGTTTGAAGAAATTAAGTTTGAATTGAATAAACAGCATCTAGGTATTTTTTTACATGTACCTTAGCCTGTTGTCCTGTATTTATTTTACCTAAGCTAATACCTGCATTTTTTGTTCTGATACTTACCAAATTTTAGAATCAAAATCTTAGTAGCCTAGTTCTAACAATTTTTATGTGACCGCTACCACTACCAAATTTGCCACCATAACTCTATCAGAATCAGAATCAGAAATCTTTATTGTTTCATATTTTTGTACAAGCTTTTACACAGAGTACTTAAGAATAACTTAGATTAACTATTTAAGATTTAACTCACACACTTATTTATAACTATGAAACAATTCATCCCTAGGTCAAAGACCTGTTTGGGATGTTCTATTACGAAAAAACACATATAAAAACAGCTCAAAAGATGGGATCACCGACATCAATAAATGTTACACTCTAAAGCAACTCTAAAAAAAATAACATTACTAAGCTTCATTGTTAAAATAGGACTAAATACCTTAGACCTGATAAATATGAAAACACTGTACAAATAACAAGGGAGAGTAACTAGATGCATTTAGGATATAAAAACTATGTGGTTTAGAAGTAATATGATGATCATTAAGATATAGAAATAAAATAATATGATAAATTGGGAAATGGATACACGTCATAGATAAACTTGGCAACAATTTCGATAATATGCATTAGAATCGTTGGAGGATAGAAACATTTTTGTGAGATAACAAAAACGTCTTTTGTTGAAACACGTTTTTATATCAATTGGCAAGTAATTAAAGAAAGTTGGAGCAAGATAAAGATAAAAGTTTTTAAAAGCTGTTGAATTTGGTTTAGGGACTGACACATTGAAACATCTTCGAAGGGTCAACGCTCGAGATCCTATATTGTGCCGGTCTTCCCCACTTTTATCAAAGAAAGCTTTTAAAACTTTAAAAATATACAAATTTTTAAATGTAAGAATTTGTAAATCTTTAAACAATTGTTCAGAGTGTTCGAATTTTGTTTTGTTTGATATTATGCGGACAAAATACTTCTGTATGGTTATTATTGGTTTAAGGTTTGAGTAATATGCTCCTCCCCACACCTCAATCCCATACTCGATTTTCGAACTTATCAGAGCATAATATATAGATTTCAAAACATTTTTCCTACAGATTGGCCTCAACATATAAAATATCCGGATGTATTTCAATAATTTTTGTCTAACTGCCTCAATATGTATTTTCCAAGATATCTTCGAGTCAACATTTAAGCCTAGATATTTAATTGAATTTACCTGTTCAATGTCCGCACATTGGCACTGTATATCCATTTTACAATTTAACGAATGATATTTTAATGGCTCAGCAAAGCTAAGGTTACGATCGACAGATTGAATATTATGTACTTTGTTTTAGGACTCATGACCATAAAGTGTTTTGTGAACCACACTCTTAGCATCTTTATATCAGCTTGCATTTCTAGTCTAAGCTGCTCTAGATTTGAACTGCTGTAAAACAGTGCAGTATCGTCAGCAAACGCAACTAGTCTGCCATTGAATACACCTTCACAAAGATTATTTACATAAATAAGAAATAAAGGTTTGAAATAAAGGTCTATTTAAAGGTTTGATCAGTGAAAATTAGGTTTTGATAGCTACACTGTTATAATTTTGCCACAAGAAATCCGCAAGTTTAGTAGCAATAAGCTACTACATAGTGGCCTTCAAAAGTTGATGTATAACAAGGCTATGTATAAAATGATCTGTTACACTGGATTTTATTTGTTAGTGATCCTTTAAGTTAACAAGTGAAGGAACGTACAAGAAATACAATTAACTAATAATAGATAGCCTAATACTTTTGTTAAATACCAACGCAGAGTAGTAAAATGTAACAGTGAAAAGTGATGTTCCTAATGATAAAATAATACAATTTATTTAAAATCAACTGATTAAATGTTAAATGATAAAATCTATTCAATGATTTTGGTGTAAAACATCAACTTCAACTCGTTTTAGAAGAGCCTTGAAGTCAGATCTTCGTTTCATTTTAAGGACACATTCGCACTATTGTTTAAAACAAAGAAACAAATTTTACAGCAACTGTTAGCAGCCGTCTAATAATACAGCCTTGCAAGCATCTCAATACTCCAGCCAATCAAATTTGAGATCAAGGTGACTACTATATAAGACAAAAAGGAAAATCACACCATTCCAAACTATGCACGGGGATGGAAATGTATTTCTCAGGATTTCTACAAACTATTCCCACAGAAAGTTATTGTAGGCCTGGCCTACCTTGTGTATCTTATACACTGCAATATTCAAATAATAGAAAATTACATAGGATATAAATAATATGCATTCTGGTTTATAAATGTCAATTTTATTTCCGACAATATTCTTACTTTTTATAATCAACTTTTTGCTATCCTTTCATATCGTAAAAGTTTTTTGCTCAGTTAATTTATTGATACCGGTACCTTATAAATTGCAACTTCCACTGGAGATGTGGAAATAAATCAATGACCCTTATTTATCAGATGTTTGTTTTATCTGATTCAGAAGTAACATGGGTGGTCTTGGTAGTAATGTTAAATTAACTTTTCTCTGGTACATTATCATGGAGGAACTTTAAGTATAAATCATGGCCTTTTTCAATCTGGAACAGTCAAGATAGTGCATTAACAAAATTATTAGGTCTTAAATTCTTAATGTGTTTTACCGGCAAAGCATATTATAATGCTGGCATTCTGTACATAGCCTTAAGCTTTAAGGCAAAGTATGAAATGAAATAATGATGATATGATTGTATCGTAGACTAACCAACACAAGTAGACTTCTCATTCCATTGTAAATTTTGAAGCTTGTTTTTAATGTCTAGTTTATGTTGGTGACACTGATCGCTAGTAACGAAAAAATTTTGTTTCTATTATTTTAGGGTTGATTTCATGATTTGTGCCTTACTGTTTGGTTATACATCTAGGGGATTAGTTACTGTTTATGATTAGATCATTTTAATTGGTTAAATGAGGTTTCAAGTGACTGAAATCACAAGTAAGAAATTGTAAACAAAACACGACTCCTACAGAGCACCGGACGGAACTAATAATACTCTTGAGCTGATCCATAAGGATGACAAATCTAACGATACTTTCACACTATACGGTTTGCACTGTCGGGTTGAAACAGTACGGTTTTGTTGGGTTTTAAGTCATCGCTATGTTTCTTTCACATTACATGGTTTCTGAACTTACCTGATAAATGTGTTTACAAAATCACAATAAACATATACAGTGTTCAATTGACATGTTAGATTTTAAACAATAAACATTAGCAACAGCTGATCTATTCTATTTGCACTAGCTGGTGGGCTTCCGTTCTATTTCACTATTTTATTAATTAGGCTGATTGTGAATAATAAGACAATAACAAATATATATAACAAAGAATAGTCCGGGTGGTATTGTTAGTAAACATTAAATAAAACGTACGGTACTTGATTTTGTTGTAAATTTCCAAGTTTACCGGTAAATTGTAATGTTCTGATAGCATTGTTTGAAACCAAAATCTCATAAAATCGAAAGACATCTAGTTTACAATGTAATATTGAATTTAACCTTGATTTAGTTTGATAAGGTTATTATAATATAGCAATTTTAGGAAAAATAGTTTTTTGCAACAAAGCCTCAGAAGCACAATTTATGATCACTGTTGTGGTTCAACTGAAAAATATCTAAATAGTCCGTGAATAAACTAGTGGTGCTACCTTGTAACGCATTGAACAACCTGCTGTAGCGCTATCTGTTTGCAATCGTTGGCGTCAGCTCAAATACCGGTTTTTGACTCCTCAGTCTCCAAGCACAGATAGCCGAGAAGGCTAGGGCGTGTCGCGTGTGTCACTTGGCCAGTGGCATTTGTTTGCTCGGGTTCAATTCCCGTCATGTGTGGCAAATAATTGGTGACCTTAGTGGGCATAGTGAGGTGTTCATAATCCTTGGTTTAGACATACACCTCGAATCATCGGATTGGGCGAATCTTTTAGCTAAGTGGTTGTTGGTGTATCCTATGAACATGCAGGTCACCGATGGCAGTTTTGCTATTTTTTGTTGAAATAACCTTCCTCTCTATATCCCTTAAAACGCCGATATATCTTTGCATAGCACTCAAAGGGTTAAAGAAGCTTTTAACAACTGACTAGTTAGAGAACTGTCAAAAATTGTAATTGATTTACTTCTGAAATAATACAAATTAGTTACGTTTGTAAGAACTGAACGAGGACTTACTGGTGTTGAAATAACTTCTGGCACGGAATAAGGGTGGTTAGCTCTGAAAGAAAGTGAAAATAATTAAACTGAAGACATACATGATAGCCCTTGTTTAAACATTAAAACACAGTTTTTCTCGTGGACATCAGGACATCAAGTAAGCAAACAAAGAAATAAGACACTTTTAACAAATCCTTTACAAGAAACAGAAATAGGCCTGCCTACCTGTTAAAAATAGGTTAAAAGAAAATGCTACAATAAATTAATTTAATGATTACAAAAATACTGCTGGCCTATTGTAACCTCCAATTTAACTACAGTCTGTGCCATGATAACCTGTCTCCTGGACCTGAGATCTACATCGGACTGGCTCGTGCCTTGGCCAGGTAGACCGAAGGTCAGGGATCAGGTTTTGTCACATAAATTGGGATTTGAGTAATCTTCAATTAATTAAATTCTCGATTAAATGAGATAAGTTAAGTACAGATAATAATAAAATATAATTAATTTTTTTGTTCAAGTATACACATTTTTACGAGATAAACTTAGTGTGAAGAAATGGCACGTTATTGCAGAATTTTATTATAAACAATAGGCATTACCTTGTTCACAGCTCACTCCTTTGTAATTTGCATTACGGCCGTTTCGGCATAACGTAGGTGAGACAAGGTAAAAAAATCTTTAGTCAAAGTAAAACCAGTACCGTATTTAATTAAATCACAGCTCAGGGACTAAAATGTGGATTTGAACAGACCATTATTAATTAATTAATTGTCTAGATCTTTGAACAGTACGGGTATTAAATAATTGTTGATAACCAGTACTTTTCACTTTCCTTTTATTAAAAAAATCCTTAATTTTATTTTATCTTAATTTCGGTATGAAATTGAGATTAAGATTCAGACTTCCAGTTTCAAAATCAAATTATCTTTATTAATAAGGCACATATATGGCCTATGTACATTTAATGGCACTAAACTAGTACCTAAAAATAACAAACTTATTATCATGATGTAACATCAATGTAAGCAGTGTTTTCATAAATATGGAATTAAGATTGAAGTAAATTGTTTTAGAACATGGTGGGGGGAGGTGAAGTGGAAAGAACTAATTTAAGATAATAGATGAATTTTCCTACAAAATAGTTTTTGATTGTGGCAACACCACTGTACTTGTAAATAGAAACAAATATTTAACGAACATTGAATAAAACACAGTACACTCACTTGACAAATGAAGTCAACTCTTCAATTCTCTCAGTCTTTGTTTTGGCCATCTAAAGAAATTAATTAATGAAAAAACAAGTGGACCTTGAACTTATAACAAAACATAATGATAGAAGTAATTGTTTTGATAAGTTACTTAAAAATGACACATGTATATCACCCTAAACTGTACCGGGTGTCCCAAAAGTAAACTGGCATACACACTTAGTTATTTAAGATAAAAAGTTATCTTTTGTAGATAATTTTTCCTCAAATTATTTTCTACATTATTTTTTTATGTTGATAGCTTAGTATGAAATAAATAAAATGGCAAAATTTTATTAATATATATCCATAAGCAAACAAACTACAACAGTTGATTAACTCTCCCTACGAATAATATTAGAATTTTAAATTTATAAGTTTTTTTCAAATTATCTACGTAACTTTATATACACTCCTGTATAAACCATTCAGTAAACTAAGCACATGCCCATATTGCAACTGTATGTTTTAAAAATTCAAACATGCTAGCAACAATGGAACAGCTGATTAACCTTGAAAGGCACTAAAAACTTAAAGATATGCCAGATTTGAAATTGCCATAGTTGACTTTTTTACCCTTGGTAAAACGCATATTAAGCTGTCATATTTTAACAATTCTTTTTGGGCCACAGTGTATTTCCAGCATCTTTATCCGCCCTCACCTACGAAAGCTGTATCTGTATGGGTAAATAAAGAGCAGAGGACATCTTAACTCTAAGAACTCATAGTTTCTGTAAAACATACACATCGTAGATCTAATGATAAAGCACAAGACTCAAATTCACAGAAAATAGGTAGTGACTGCTCAGTGATAGCCAACAAGTTGTTTTTAATTCCAATCCTTCAGAAGAATACCAGAAGCCATCTTCTTGTTTGTTTTATTCAATGTATATTTTTGATATAGATAGTGCAGTTTCAAACATAAGTAGGCCTATAAGGTTGAATTTTGTCAGAAAAAGTTGATCTGTAAATGTGATTTTATAAAGCTGCAGTTTTCTAAAAGGAGTAATAGTGATTGAGATTTAAAATAAAACAAATTACAATCAAACTTAAAAAAATGGAAACACTGGATAGTGAGCAAATATTAAACTGAATGAATGACCTTTGCTAACCTAAGTGAAATCAATGTTTTCTATACTTGTTTTTTGTTATTTTTTGACTTTATAGCTATGTTAGTGGACAGGAATTTTTTTGTTACAAAAAAGTGCTGTATGATGGGGTTTTGATTTGTGAAAACAAACAATTGTTATACTGTAATCAGTCACTGGCAAGGCAGTATGTTTCTTACAAAGTAAAAAAAAAATTGATATTTTAGAACAGTGTTACATAGAGAATACGAAAGAATGCATACCAGGAGCAATTCAGAATCCTCTTCTATTTTACCTTCCCATTTGTATCTGTAAATAATATGTCATTATAACATGAAACAGGATTGAGATAATCATTATTCTAATTTATTTTTTTTGCCACACTACACTGTTATAATAGACTTTTCACACAAGGATTTAGTCCAGAAAACAGCTGTTTGCCAACTGCTTAATCAAATAGGATTTCATTATGTACTATCTTTGAAGTCTATGGTACTACCAAGGCAACACTAAATAAACAGGCTGTAATGCTCCATCATAGGCGACGGCAATGGCGTAATGTTTGCCATTTGTGATTAGCTGCTTGTTTTAATCTTTTCTTAGAAAACAAAAATATAACTAAAAAATCAAACTATTGATGCCGTCGCCTATGGTGACGCCACTGACGTCATACCAGAGGAGCATTACGGCACGGCCTGTTTATTTAATGTTGCCTTGGTACTAATGAATAGAAATGAATTTTGCCGGACACCAGCTGACTAAAATGAACTTTTGCCATTGAAAACCTAATTATGATTTTTTTTAAACATAAATAATTATCAACTTAACAATACCCCCGCCGCAGCAAACCTGCCGTCTAAGCGAATTTCCATTTGGCTGAATTGATTTTCAATCGATCTATTTAAATAACATTAGGTTTAACGAGTACCTAGGTTTGCTGCTACAAGGAAACTAATAAAGTGTGTGTTTTAAGTATTGCTTAGTAGAAAATGAATATATTTGCCAAGTTTGATCAAAAGATATACCTTTTCTCCGTAACCAATAACCGTACAAAAACACTTTGATATACTGAATTGTTTGTTTTTTTAAGCTCTTTAAGAAGGTTTAGAGAAAAATTGGGAAATTTTGTGTTTTGAGGGTCAAAAGTGAGAAAAACCAATTTTTACCCCATAAAACCCCCCATAAAACCCTGTTCCCATGGTCCGATCATGCTGGATCGCGAACTCATTCAAGTTTATCCCGCCTTACACCTTCAAACCAAATTTCATCAAAATCGGATAAAAATTACTCAAGTTATCGTGTTCACGGACACATATATATATAAATCTATATATATATCTATATATATATATATATACATATATACAAATTTGTTACACACAAATTTGTTTGATGAACACATCCATTTGTTACAGTTAGCTCAAGCAGTGGTTATTTGCTGAGTGGGGTCAAAGTTCTTAACAAATAATTTTTGTACTTATAACAGTCATTAATTTGTTGTAATGTTTGAAGAAATTAAGTTTGAATTGAATAAACAGCATCTAGGTATTTTTTTACATGTACCGTAGCCTGTTGTCCTGTATTTATTTTACCTAAGCTAATACCTGCATTTTTTGTTCTGATACTTACAAAATTTTAGAATCAAAATCTTAGTAGCCTAGGCCTAACAATTTTTATGTGACCACTACCACTACCAAATTTGCCACCATACCTCTATTTAAAGGTTTGATCAGTGAAAATTAGGTTTTGATAGCTACACTGTTATAATTTTGCCACATGAAATCCGCTAGTAGCAATAAGCTACTACATAGTGGCCTTCAAAAGTTGATGGATAACAAAGCTATGTATAAAATGATCTGTTACACTGGATTTTATTTGTTAGTGATCCTTTAAGTTAACAAGTGAAGGAACGTACAAGAAATACAATTAACTAATAATAGATAGCCTAATACTTTTGTTAAATACCTACGCAGAGTGGTAAAATGTAACAGTGAAAAGTGATGTTCCCAATGATAAAATAATACAATTTATTTAAAATCAACTGATTAAATGTTAAATGATAAAATCTATTCAATGATTTTGGTGTAAAACATCAACTTCAACTCGTTTTAGAAGAGCCTTGAAGTCAGATCTTCATTTCATTTTAAGGACACATTCGCACTATTGTTTAAAATAAAGAAACAAATTTTACAGCAACTGTTAGCAGCCAGCTAATAATACAGCCTTGCAAGCATCTCAATACTCCAGCCAATCAAATTTGAGATCAAGGTGACTACTATATAAGACAAAAAGGAAAATCACACCATTCCAAACTATGCACGGGGATGGAAATGTATTTCTCAGGATTTCTACAAACTATTCCCACAGAAAGTTATTGTAGGCCTGGCCTACCTTGTGTATCTTATACACTGCAATATTCAAATAATAGAAAATTACATAGGATATAAATAATATGCATTCTGGTTTATAAATGTCAATTTTATTTCCGACAATATTCTTACTTTTTATAATCAACTTTTTGCTATCCTTTCATATCGTAAAGGTTTTTTGCTCAATTCGGTAGGCCTACCTTATAAATTGCAACTTCCACCAGAGATGTGGAATTATATCAATGACCCTTATTTATCAGATGTTTGTTTTATCTGATTCAGAAGTAACATGGATGGTCTTGGTAGTAATGTTAAATTAACTTTTCTCTGGTACATTATCATGGAGGAACTTTAAGTATAAATCATGGCCTTTTTCAATCTGGAACAGTCAAGATAGTGCATTAACAAAATTATTAGGTCTTAAATTCTTAATGTGTTTTACCGGCAAAGCATATTATAATGCTGGCATTCTGTACATAGCCTTAAGCTTTAAGGCAAAGTATGAAATGAAATAATGATGATATGATTGTATCGTAGACTAACCAACACAAGTAGACTTCTCATTCCATTGTAAATTTTGAAGCTTGTTTTTAATGTCTAGTTTATGTTGGTGACACTGATCGCTAGTAACGAAAAAATTTTGTTTCTATTATTTTAGGGTTGATTTCATGATTTGTGCCTTACTGTTTGGTTATACATCTAGGGGATTAGTTACTGTTTATGATTAGATCATTTTAATTGGTTAAATGAGGTTTCAAGTGACTGAAATCACAAGTAAGAAATTGTAAACAAAACACGACTCCTACAGAGCACCGGACGGAACTAATAATACTCTTGAGCTGATCCATAAGGATGACAAATCTAACGATACTTTCACACTATACGGTTTGCACTGTCGGGTTGAAACAGTACGGTTTTGTTGGGTTTTAAGTCATCGCTATGTTTCTTTCACATTACATGGTTTCTGAACTTACCTGATAAATGTGTTTACAAAATCACAATAAACATATACAGTGTTCAATTGACATGTTAGATTTTAAACAATAAACATTAGCAACAGCTGATCTATTCTATTTGCACTAGCTGGTGGGCTTCCGTTCTATTTCACTATTTTATTAATTAGGCTGATTGTGAATAATAAGACAATAACAAATATATAACAAAGAATAGTCCGGGTGGTATTGGTAGTAAACATTAAATAAAACGTACGGTACTTGATTTTGTTGTAAATTTCCAAGTTTACCGGTAAATTGTAATGTTCTGATAGCATTGTTTGAAACCAAAATCTCATAAAATCGAAAGACATCTAGTTTACAATGTAATATTGAATTTAACCTTGATTTAGTTTGATAAGGTTATTATAATATAGCAATTTTAGGAAAAATAGTTTTTTGCAACAAAGCCTCAGAAGCACAATTTATGATCACTGTTGTGGTTAAACTGAAAAATATCTAAATAGTCCGTGAATAAACTAGTGGTGCTACCTTGTAACGCATTGAACAACCTGCTGTAGCGCTATCTGTTTGCAATCGTTGGCGTCAGCTCAAATACCGGTTTTTGACTCCTCAGTCTCCAAGCACAGATAGCCGAGAAGGCTAGGGCGTGTCGCGTGTGTCACTTGGCCAGTGGCATTTGTTTGCTCGGGTTCAATTCCCGTCATGTGTGGCAAATAATTGGTGACCTTAGTGGGCATAGTGAGGTGTTCATAATCCTTGGTTTAGACATACACCTCGAATCATCGAATTGGGCGAATCTTTTAGCTAAGTGGTTGTTGGTGTATCCTATGAACATGCAGGTCACCGATGGCAGTTTTGCTATTTTTTGTTGAAATAACCTTCCTCTCTATATCCCTTAAAACGCCGATATATCTTTGCATAGCACTCAAAGGGTTAAAGAAGCTTTTAACAACTGACTAGTTAGAGAACTGTCAAAAATTGTAATTGATTTACTTCTGAAATAATACAAATTAGTTACGTTTGTAAGAACTGAACGAGGACTTACTGGTGTTGAAATAACTTCTGGCACGGAATAAGGGTGGTTAGCTCTGAAAGAAAGTGAAAATAATTAAACTGAAGACATACATGATAGCCCTTGTTTAAACATTAAAACACAGTTTTTCTCGTGGACATCAGGACATCAAGTAAGCAAACAAAGAAATAAGACACTTTTAACAAATCCTTTACAAGAAACAGAAATAGGCCTGCCTACCTGTTAAAAATAGGTTAAAAGAAAATGCTACAATAAATTAATTTAATGATTACAAAAATACTGCTGGCCTATTGTAACCTCCAATTTAACTACAGTCTGTGCCATGATAACCTGTCTCCTGGACCTGAGATCTACATCGGACTGGCTCGTGCCTTGGCCAGGTAGACCGAAGGTCAGGGATCAGGTTTTGTCACATAAATTGGGATTTGAGTAATCTTCAATTAATTAAATTCTCGATTAAATGAGATAAGTTAAGTACAGATAATAATAAAATATAATTAATTTTTTTGTTCAAGTATACACATTTTTACGAGATAAACTTAGTGTGAAGAAATGGCACGTTATTGCAGAATTTTATTATAAACAATAGGCATTACCTTGTTCACAGCTCACTCCTTTGTAATTTGCATTACGGCCGTTTCGGCATAACGTAGGTGAGACAAGGTAAAAAAATCTTTAGTCAAAGTAAAACCAGTACCGTATTTAATTAAATCACAGCTCAGGGACTAAAATGTGGATTTGAACAGACCATTATTAATTAATTAATTGTCTAGATCTTTGAACAGTACGGGTATTAAATAATTGTTGATAACCAGTACTTTTCACTTTCCTTTTATTAAAAAAATCCTTAATTTTATTTTATCTTAATTTCGGTATGAAATTGAGATTAAGATTCAGACTTCCAGTTTCAAAATCAAATTATCTTTATTAATAAGGCACATATATGGCCTA